TCTCTCTCTCTCACTCACTCACTCACTCACTCACTCACTCACTCTTTCATCGAAAATGATTCATTGAATATATTGACAAATGATTTCAAATGAATGATAGCCTGATTTTAAATGAATAATTTATTTAAATAATACTTTTAAAAGAAATATTTTTTATAAAACTTTAAATATTATCGATTCTAACAATAATAATAATTATAATAATAACAACAATATTTGTATTTAGAAATGATTTATAGTGAAGAATATAATAATTGATGTCTGATTTGAGGCACAATTGGATTATAATGAGAGCAAAAGAATAGGTGTGAAAAGGAATGTCCTTTCGGTGCAAATATTGTAATGAATAATAATTACATTTTGTTTTATAAATTAAATTACAATTAAATTTAAAACTATTGAATAATGGGCACCAATCGTATGGTCTACTCATTCAACAAATAGATAATCCATATTATAGTAACAATTGTTTAATTAATTTGTTAAACTTTATCACAAATAGCTAAACATAACATCAAAATAATTAGTCTTCAAATCGACCAGAATTTAGGTTTTATATTGAAATCAATGACAAAATTGTTTGCAAAGTAGATGTGATGTATATTTTAATACAAATGTATATTTGAATTAAAACAATAATTTGTTGAATTTATGTAGAAATCAAATTCATTTGAGTATTAGTTTAAGTCTTTGTATATTAAATTTGCAAATCAATTGTCATGATTTCAAATCAGGCATAAAGTGTCAAAACATGTCAATAACTGTTGAAGACTATACTGTATTCATGTATTATATAACAGTAATTGAGGCACTGATTGCGAACCCGTTTTGTATATATTTTCTCAACATTTATCATAATTATAACACTATATATTGGATTCGATTTCCATACACAATAGGATCACAAATCGCTTATATTATAATATATAATAAATATAACAGAATTGGTTTTAATCGTATAATTGACACCCAATGACAGAGCACTGAATGCAATCCAAATTGGCTTTAAATGGTATATTGAATGCAAATGTAATAGTTATATAATATATCTCATCTTTAAATAAATTTCTTAATTTGTATAGAAATTCATTCAATAAATATATTGTCAAAAATACTATTTCTTTCATAATTCATAATGAGTTAACAAATTAAATTATTTTAATGTAATATCAATTGCTAATTGAGAACTAATTCAACAAAATATTCTTCTCTGTAGTTAATAAGCATTAACTTAATGTAACAATAATTGTATAAATAATTCATATAAACTTTGAATTCAGTTTATAACAAAGAAAGCAACATTTCTTTACCAATAATAGCGTTCATATTTTTTGTTGCGAAATCGATATAAATTTGATATTTTTTGATTAGAAAAATATATTCAATGAATTAGAAAGGACAGGCATTTTAGTCGATCACAATTGTTTTCAATCGCTTTCGTTTAGTTTGTGCTGAACTCGAGTTATTTGTTGAACTTATAGACGAAGAAGTGATGGCATTATTAGGCGAAGAAGTGATGGTATTATTAGGCGAAGAAGTGATGGTAGTATTAGTAGTAGTATTTGTATTACTAGTGGATAAGTACTCATCAACTATTTCGCAGCTCTCGTCTCGTTCTCTCTTCGATGATAATGAGGAAAGTGTGGACACATTTGAAGCTATTGATGGCGTCGATGCAACTGATGCTGATATGGAAGGACAAAGAAGCGTTGAGTTGTTATTGTTATTATCTAAGAATGGATTAATGGCCGAAAAGGTAGATGAAGTGATCGGGTCTTCTGCGAAAAAGAGATTATGACTTAGAAGTAGTTGTGCTTCCGTTGAATCACTAATTGTTGGCAATCCTGACAAATAGGCCGACACTTTCGACTCAGAGTAGTTGAATACGGAATCGCTGACATCACTGGTTGGGCGCAGACTCGTCGGTGTTGTCAATGAGGAGTGCGTTCGCTGTGATGTCGAAGAACTCGATGAACTACTATTGCCGTGACTGCGAGTGCCAGATATGGAGCTATTGCTACTACAACTACTACTGCGAGCATCAGTCGAACTCTTCTTCAGTTTGCGTCTCTGAGCCAGAGGTGCGGCCGAAACGTCCAGCAATCGGAAGCCTTCAAGCCTTGCCATATGGAAGGCATCAAAAGTTGCTTTAATAGCCGTTTCTGTGGCTCTAGTCGTACTCGAGTGACTGCTTAAGACATCGGGTGTCATCAAAGGAGTGTTAGAATAACCGCCTTTCAGTTGCCCGACAACCCATGGATGCGATAACATATCATTCATTGTTATCCTCTGCTTTGGATCCACTGTTAATAAGCCTTTGATTACATTCTTGGCTTGAGTTGAGACGAGATCCCATTGTGGAGCAGAGAAGGAGAACTCTCCCTCTCGTATTCGTTGCATAATAGCGGCCGCACTCGCCTCTCGACTGTACGACTGGAAGGGCACACTTCCGGACAACATTGTGAATAAGATTACGCCTAAACTCCACATCTGTCGCGACATAAGCATAAATTGTAAACATTTTGTATTTCTAATAATTTAATCAAACAATGACTTACATCACAACTGGCATCATATCCCGCGTCTGTTTTTGTATTCAGTGCTTGCTTTAGGACTTCAGGCGCCGCGTAGTTGAGTGTAAAACATGGAGTCTTCATGAGCTGATTATCTGTTGGCTGATAGCGAGCGAAACCAAAGTCAACCACTTTTACTTCACTCGTCGGAGAATCGTTTACAAACAGGAGATTCTGTTTTTGGATTTACAACAAAACAATTAATAAGTGAACACTTATCTCAAAATGGTATCAAAATGATTATACCTCAGGCTTTAGGTCTCTGTGAACAATGCCTTTGGAATGCATGAATGCAACGGCAGAGGCGAGTCCTCGAAAGATATGTCCGGCTTCTACTTCAGTAAACCTATCCTTCTTTCTAATCTTGTCGAGCAGTTCTCCGCCGCCGCACAACTCCATCACAATATAAGTGTGCACTTCATCCTGAAAAACGTCCATCAGATTCACTACATTCGGGTGTCCCTGACATGACCGCAACAGTTGGATCTCACGACTCGTGTCTATCTTTCTGCTCACTATTTTAACCGCGTATTCAATACCAGTCTTCTTGTGGACACACTTACGACAGACGGAAAAGCTTCCGTCGCCGAGAATTCCTGCGTTTATTTTTAAGTCATAATTTTGGAAAAATGAAGAGTTTTTGAATTTTGAGGCCAAGAGTTGCGATATATCTTTGTCATCGGTCTGAGCATTGAGGAGATCTTTGCAGTTAGTATTGGTATTAGTGTTAGTACTAGAAAACAATGACTTTTTGTGATGGAAATGAGTTCTGTCTAGAAATATATCGTCGGAAATGATATTCTCACTGAACAGAACAGACGGCGCGACATATGAATAGCCTTTAAATATCTTCTCGTCGTTGGCAGGAATGACGGCCGGAGAGTCGGTTGGAATCATTGAAGTAAACTCTTCGGCAAAGTTACTAACATCCAGTTCTCCCGTAATCTTTGGCACAAATGGCGCTTTAATACGTCTGTTCGCCAATTCTTCCCAATTGATTGACTTAAAAAACGGATGATTTTTTATTTCTAAGGCGTCGTTCACTCCTCCGCCCAAACGTTTTCGCGGATCTTTCACTAATGTGTGTCGAATCAGGTCCTGGACTTCGTAGGAGAGGTGCTCTGGAATCGGCGGATGACTTTTGAGGATTCTTCGAGAGATCTCCTGTTGAGTGTTCTTCTCTCCCTCCACAGTGAAAGGCGAGGCGCCGGTCAAGAGCTCGTATGTCAATACACCCACACTCCACCAGTCAACTGTTCAGCATATTTAATAAAATATTGAATTTAATATAAAATACTATTTAAATCATGTCATAAGTAAAACATACCGCTAAAATCATGACCAGTAGAGCCACCCCTAACCACTTCTGGCGCCATATACTCGATTGTCCCGCAAAATGAATAAGTTCTCAAATCCTGGTATTGAAAGGCAATAGAATTAAAATATAACGAACACCTAAACAGTGGTTTCAATGCCAACCGTTTCGTGCGGTAAAAACTCTTTGCTAAGTCCAAAGTCAGTCAACACTATGTGTCCCTCAGAGTCGAGTAAAATGTTTTCTAACTTAATGTCGCGATATATTATGCCGAGCTATGGAGAGGTGTTAACAAGTATTGAGACAATTAATGTGCTGCCGAAGTGCATGATTAGTGTGAAACCTACTTTATGAAGATGTTCGAGTGCTAATATGATTTCGCCGATATATATGCGCACCTCATCCTCATTGAAATGGTCGCGTTGGTAGAGATGAGTGAACAGTTCCCCTCCACTCACGTAATCTAACCAAAACAATATTGTCTCATAAGTAATGCTATCAAATGTGAGACATTTATCCAACTTATTGGAGCTTAAAATGTGTGCTATTTTTTAAAGCAACGAATGAGATATTTTCGATTTTAAATATACTTTTCATTCATCAAATTATATTCATTATAACCAATGAGGAAATCAAACATTAATTGAGAATTTGATTTTCAAAAAGCTATAAAAAATTAATTACAGGAAAAGAGTTATAAATATATATTTCTTCTATAACTGTAAATTTAGAAAACTAATATTCAATTAATCTAATAAAAGCATAAGTTTTTTTTAAATATACTGTATAATTATTTAAACATCAACTTTAATGAAAGTGTTGTTTTAAAAATAGCATTTTTGAGCTCTAATTATATACAATTTAGATAAAATAAGTTAATAGTAATGAATTATATACCGAGAATCAGATGTAATTTAGTGGCGGTTTGAAAGGCATAGTGAAGTGTCACCAAAAAAGGCGATTGTCTAATAGACTCGAGAACTTGTCGTTCAGTCTTTGTGTGCTCTAAAGTCTTCTGTTTTTGAACAATTGAAGCCTTTTTCAAAACTTTCATTGCATATAGTTTTCCGCTGTCGTGTCCGCCCACTTTGCGCACAAGGAATACCTAAATTGTTATCATGTTTAATATTAGATCAATTTATATGGTAACCAATTAAACTGATTTATGATTAATCTATACTACCTTTCCATAAGCTCCGGTGCCGAGCACTTTGAGGAGTTCAAAGTTAGACATATCCACTCTTCCCCTTCCGCTCAGATTAACTGCAAAGGAAACACATTTTTCAATTAGATATCATATCAAATCAATTATCACCAAAAGCTTTATAGAATAACTATTATTTGTATTTAAACATCAACTAAAATACGTGAACTCAACTAACAATGCAATAAAATGGTAAATATTTGAGGGTAACATCAGTATTGTGTTCGCAATCATTAGTATTAATACTGTAATATTTGTCTCATAACATGAAATTAAATTTAAAGTCAAATATAATCTCCATATTATTGTGAAATATTTTTAAGCAAATAACAACTTGTTGTGAAACAAATATATTTTTAATTTTTTCGTTGAAAAATATATTTTCATGAAATGTAACCAAAAAGATAAGAGTCTAATGAAATTCTAAAGGAAAACATTTTTTTTGTCGCTACAGAACCCCAGAAGTTGTTTCAGAACTTGAATTATGGAAATTGAATTGAAAACAATTTTCTCGTTTATGTCTTTCAATGCCTTTAAGTGTTTTTAACAATTTCTGTCATTAATTGTTGTCATAAAAGATCTCTTTTCGTTAGCACTAAATGGAGCACAAAATGTCTTTTGTTTTGAAAGACTCGTTTGAATTATGTATGAAATTGTTGAGAAAACCAGTGTTTTTAAGTAATAAATGTTTAGTAACTCAACAATTATTGTATGAAATATTTTGCATAAATGTATTGAATTAATTGCTTCGGCTTTGAATACACACACTCTATATGGGATTTTATCATCAAATCATTTATTTTTCATAACAAACAAATAAATTGTAATGAATTTAATGTACTGTATATTGAGACCAATGAAATCATAAATTTAGTGTACAGTAAATAAAAATATAAAAAGTCGTTCACACAATAAACAGCAATGCATTTACTGTAAAAGTAAGCAAATATTCAAATACTGTAAGTCATATATTTTGATATCTCATTTAAATACTGTTTTTATGCATAAAAGACAATAACATTGAAAATAAGATTTTGCACTTAAATTGAGAATAAACTCAAAATAATTAGGAATAACATTGAAAGTAATGAAAAATCAATATTTGTGTGAATATTAATAAGAGAAGTGTAGACGACTATTATAGGCATTTTTGCAATTCATTATAAAATAATCGCTTTAATCTAATTCTATGTCAATTATTCGGCAAAATATATAGTTTATTGAAAATAAAGCCTCATTTAAGTAGTGTATTGAGAAATATTGGTAAAGATTAGTGATTTGAGAGTAAAACATGAAAGTTAGTGATGAATGTTCGGTGGATGTGATGCACAGGTAGTCGAACCTAATAGCAGACAATGACCTGGAGTTGTGAGCACTAACTCAGTCAGTCATCAGCATTGCGTTCAAATAGGAGAGAGAAATGTTTAAACTTTTTTTGATAGATTTGAACTAAATATGAGCTCTAATGACATTCCAGACATACAAATAATCTAATCTTATTTTAAGAATATATTCACTAAACCATATGATAGGCAAACAAACATTTCGGTCTTTCAAATACTAATAATTGGCTACAAATTAAAGTCTGAAAAGTTCATTACGAAAGCAAAAACAATACATGTATATTCTGTATCAAATCATATCAAAAATATTAGTAAATTGTTATATAAAATGGCAAAACGATGAGAGAATCAAAGTGTTTGTGTGTCCTATCGATCAATTATTTAATGGAGAAGTGATGCCATTATATTGAAACAAATGACTGATACGTTGTTTATCTAATCAAAATTCAAATGAAAATTATATAACAACTACACCATCAATGATATCAATAATTTTCAATTCAAAGGCACTAATTATTATCCAATAAGCAATCGATTGACTAAAGATTGTGTTAAAGGCATTGAGAAGTAATTAAAATTAGAAAATATTTCATAATACGAGAAAAAGTGGAAAATGTAAGTGCATTACAAGGCATTGCAGGGATTGAATGTTTCGTTCAATGTTTGTTTGAGGAATGGGGTTATGAAATGCAGTGTCGGCCCAATTCGCAACAGGATATGGCCTCATATGAATTACCAGTTTTATATTAATACATACATATGATCGCACATACAGTAACTTCTAATATCAATGTTCTCCCAAAATATTACAATTTATCAAATTCAAAATTTTAGCCAAAAATGAGTATCATTCAATTGAAAAGTATTAGAAACTAATTGTAACAGTAATATTGTAAGTATAAAAAGACATTGCAATTGAAATACTATAGAAAAATGTTTCATTTCTAACTAAAAGCAATGTTTTTGAAAATTAAGATTTTTTTCTAGTAAATTGAATGGAGAGGCAGGAAGTGGTAGAAATCGGAGGTAAGCACGACGTGGTGGTAGTGTTGCACAAGAGTTGCTGCCCTACGAGTGGTAAGACAGGCAACACTGGCAACAGTGGTAACCACTGCCAACTCACTTACCCGGTCTAACCATCTTTGAAAGGCTTTCGATTTACTCCAAAAGTAGGACACAATCTTAAGACGAGTTTCTTATTTTCAACACAATATTAATACAATTTTAATGCACTTATTGTTAAGAAATGTGTTGATCTTCTTTTGGGTTGAGAATTAATTATATCCAACAATAAAACATAATATAACTTATAATAGGTTTATAATAATTGAAACTAAATTTAATGAAAACAACAACACATTTGAAAGTTTGGTGTCATTTATAATTGATAGCAAATATATAACACAAATCTGTTTGGATTTATTAAAATAAAAATCACGAATAATGATAGAAATAATATTAATATATAATATTATGAATGAATGGCAAGTTTGCAGAGAGAAAGTGAATAACAGCTGCCAAACACACTGTTAGTTAGTTTGGTTTGTTGTGTCGATGATCAGCGTTGAGCTAACATTGTATACATTGTATGGAATCGATTCAATAGACAGAATAGACGACTGCATTGCACTGTAAGGTCTTTTAACACCAGAGCCAACACTGGTATCGTATACCCAATGCTCAGCCAACAAACCCAATACCACTACAAATACTGACTTTCATCAGCTGATCGACAGCTGATTTGCAATAACATTTCAAGTCTGTGGTGTTTTGTTGCTCTCATTTTGGACAAAATCATATCAATGTTATATTAACTATAGTTATGGACATAATTAGCAATTATCACAACCCATCCAATGGTGGGCAACACAAACACAATTCAATTATATATAAAAGTAGTGTTCAAAACGAGTATATATTTCTAATAGAAAGCACTTAAACGGTTAAAAGTGATGAATATTTGAGGGAAACATTGAAGATGTGTCGGAATCGATGAGAATATGTCGATTAATTCAAGGAAGTCTGTAAAGACTGAAAGGCATTAATGTTTGGCTTCAAGTCTGTGGAAGCGATTCAGAGCTATTCATGAGACCAATACTACATGTATTTGAGTTCACAATCTTCTCGAAACTGAGCCAATCATCAAAAGTACAGTTGTGTGGAATGGTATGTATGGTAGGAATGGTAGGCAATGGTTGCAATGTTGAGCACAAGTGTGTGAGCACTTTGAGGTCAAATTGCTTCACAAAACAGGTCTCAAGTTTTGAGAGTCGACAACAAAATGCAATTTACGCTCTCGTGTGCTATGAGTTGCTGTTAGAGCGCTATTGAAGGCAAACAATACGACTCTTGGCTCTCATCATATCGCCAATGATTGTCGTCTAAGACTATATCACATATTCCTCGACACCACTCACAACACGAGTACAAATGAGAACAATCGCTGCGAACGCCAGTGACTGGTGTAGTAAAAGGATTATCGCTTCAGTGATTGCAACACAGGGTAATGGCCGACAATTCGCACCATTAGCTCAAATCAAACTCATAGACCAGAACTACAACTACAAGAACGACAACTAATTCTGAAGGAATACATAGAAAAAGACAACAAAAACCGAAACCTTTTCAAATGACAGTTACATCTCGTATTGCCGACCAAACTGTTATGTCAGGACCTTTTCCCTCACCAAATGCTCAACTCAACCAAAACTGCAATTCACTCGTTATTATCATTAAACCATTAAATGGTTTGTTTGGCTCACATGAGGATAAAAACTTGAAATCAAAATCAAGTGAAGGGAAAATGTTTTTTCATTTCTAAGAAATATATAGACGTTAGACGTGAGACCCAATTGTCATGTTTTGCATAACTGGAAAGCAGTCTTGAAATACACTAATTGTGAGCCAAACAAATAGAAATTTATATTTAAATCAACACTAATAGAGCAGAAGTGGAGTGTCTGTAAAACTAGTTGTGTTTTGTGTTATTCGAGATTTTCAACAAAATATACATTTTCTTTCTATAAGAGCAGAGAATTGTATGTATTTTAAGACAACGAGAAGTTGCGGTGAATGTCCCTCAAGGGGTTGTTTTTGACTCAAAACACCGACTCTAAGGCAGGCCTACGCGCTGTAAAGATTGAGACAGTAGTAAACAAGACTTGTATAGCAAAGCATAGGTTACTCAATATGTAGGACAACATCAGCTTTTTATAAAAATAAGTGCTTTAAACACAAACAGCTTTCAAACCAACATTTTATAAATATTACAAATTCTCTTTCAAACCAATTATTGTATTTAATGAACACAAAACTCAAATGAAGTCTCCATTAAACATCATTTTTAAGGAAAATGTTTTTCTATAAGAATATGATATATAGAAATAAAAATAGAGAAATAATAGAAATATTTGCAATTTTAGTACAAAATAAGCATAAGTTTTCGTTTCAAAGTAGCATTTCTTTCGTATCCTTCGATTGAATACAATTCAAGGTTTCAAACATATGATAGCATTAGAAATACAAATAATTACAGATATTTGTACTCAAATTCTTATCTATTTTTCCATTAAACTCAAAAGTATTAGCTTTAAAAGCGAATCAAATTTATTGGAAACAATTCGTTGGAAATTTTCGCTTCAAAAACATATAAAAATTGAAAATATATTGAATTAGCGAATGACTGATTAGAATCCGTGAAAAACAAGTCAAATGATAATAAAATGCATTCATTTGGTGTTTGCTTTACTCAATTGTCTTACAAAAGCAAATGACTTCCAGAGCTGCCGATCAGAGCTGTTGTGCACTTATATTATACTTCAATCATCAATAAGACCATTGAATCTAATGTTAACACAGTTTGATTGCATTCAATAATTCAATTGGCGTTTTCTGTGGCTCTCAAATGCACGACATTTCAATGACATTCATATCATTATTAGTGAACTTCTCTAGAAGTCTCTTCAATACCTACTCTACTCTATTGTACACTATTGTGAAGTTCAATAAAGAGCTACAACTGTATTGAAAACAATTATATAAAGAGATTCCTCCTTACAGTCAAACAAATGAGACCGTCTGTCGTGTCAATGGAGTACATCTCTAGTCGTCGACGATAACTCAGGTCGACATACTATACGCTATACACTATACCACAACTCATATGAATTATATTATGTATTTTTCTAGTTTACAATCATTTTAACGTTAAATATTATGCAATATAACAAAAGAATTACTATTAAATACAACAAATGTTGAGCGTTTCAGTGAATTTCAATCAACAGTGTTATAATAGCGATAGATTGGTGGATATGTTTGTATTCTTGCAAATGAACTCACAATGAGTTGAGATATAAATGAGATTAAAGAATATTGCGAAGAATATGAAAGTCCACGAAATACAACTCAGTTTTAGTCATATGCTTCATATAAAAGTGATTCTCAAACTAATTATCAAATTCTCAGACATGTTCTCAATTGTGTAATAGTAATGTACTGTACTGTACTGTACTGTGCATACAGCCTAACATGAGTTAAACAGAAAAATATATTTAATTTAAAATCTCGTGATAAGTATTAGAGAGGTATACAAATTATAGCAGCATTTGATGTAACATCAAAAAGGAAATACAAAAAGTTAAAGCAGAAAGTTATAAGAATTTAGTATAGGTTTTGTATGTGAGTGTTGTTGTGTGTGATGTACTGCCTGTCCCACTAACCCAACTAAATGGTGATTTGACCACTTGTTTAAGCGAATCAAATAAAAATGAATTGTTTTCAAGTTTTGTTTGCACTTCACGTGAATATAATTTATTTCAATGTCTTTTAGGAGCGGGTGTTAAGCAAAGAGTTACTAAAATTGACAAATAAATCGTTTGCATTGAGAAATGCTTAAAAAGAGCTTCAAATATGAGTTCAAAACACAAACAGCGGGGGAGCGGAGGCGTGTGAGGGCTGGCTATACATACACTTATCGCTGGCTACACATGATTAGTGAAGGGAAACTGAATCAATAAATATGGACACAAACTATTGAGGAGGTCATACAGCTATATAACTGCAGTTATTAATATGCATATACTGTACTGTATTGCCTGCATATAAGTATTGTATGCAATTTCGACTCCAATTATTTATAACGTATATCTATTTGTAATAAACTATAGAATATTTGACATAACATTAAAAACTATTTGACTGAATGAATAGATGAGTAAAAAGCCGAGTGGTTTGGTTGGATGTGGTGTTAAAAGCAGTGAAAATGGACGAACAGGTGTCCAACCATTAGAGCAAAGATAGGTTTTATGGAAAGTACACGAGAGTTACTCTCAAGGACTTCAGACATCAGTCCTTTTAAATACATTTAAACCTGCGCTCGACTTCTGAGACTCCTATACGTTATAATCAATTCATAAAATAATAAAATATCAATCGATTGGAGACATTGAGAGAAATTGTTTAAATGAATCAATGATTTAAAAGTTGCAAAACACATATGAGAGCGAGAGTAGTGAAGGTTTGGATTAATTCATGTCATGAAGTCATCCATTATATTATATTTAGGTTACAATGGGTTTGGGATTGAGTTTGAGGTAAAATTGGTTTTTAGCTCACAATTCATTTCCACTCAAATAAAACTGTTTTTATTTTAAGTTTCAAATCAAGAATAAAAATTATCCTTTAATACAACAACCGTTTCAATGGGTTTCACATTAGAGACAAATCAAGCCTAAGATCACAGACCAGTGAACAATGAGTTCTCTTATAATTGATTTCATAAATGAGATACAAAAACAGTATTCACTTGTTTCGCACACTTTTGCCGTACTTTGAATGCACTAAACAATACATAACTGTAAATACCAATGGAGTGAACACAGGTTGAAGTGAAACCCAATTAAGTACGCGTATAGGAATGAATGGACTCACCATCATGCAGCTCATGGGTCACCATCACCACTTCGCCCTCATCGCCATCCACACCGTCATCACTCTCGTCACAGATATCCCACTCAATCTCATCCCTGTCTTCCCTGTCCTCGCTATCCATCGCCAGCTCTGGTTTGTCTGACAATTGGCTTGTCTTTGGATGCGTTGATTGGGAGCCAGTGTTGGGATCAGAAGTTTGTTTACCAATCGGTCGCTTAAACCCGGATGTGGACGGAGTGTCCATCTCTTCGCACAATTGCTATTAAATTATTACTTAAATAACTATTATATATATCTGTATATAATTATAACTATAACACAAACTATATATTAAACTCGATTAACATATTATAAAATGAATTGAATATTTGATTTGCATTTCGTTTGAATTGCATTCAAATGTAAATAAAGACAACAAATAAGTGACTGAACGACAGGTTTGTGTCCAACAAAAACACTATACAGTCGTCAACACAACTGATTGCCTATAATATTGTAGTTATTGTTAAATCAAACGATTGGTAAACATGTTGTGATGGTTTGCATGTGTGATGGATGATCACTGATCACCGATCGGATCAATTATCAACATATTATCAACAAATTATATGATCACAACTCCAGAGATGGCCTTCACTTACACTCATATGCAGTACTCGTTGAGTGTATGCCTCGTATGCCTTCATATGGACAACACATACACCCCTTCAGCACAACAACTGCTTCACTGCTGAACACTCTTTCAAAACAACTCAAAACAAACACAACATTTGAATTAATCACTCATTCATTGATTCACTCAATGGTCGGTAATATTGTCTTTGAAATGAATGAAACCAATGATTGTCTCACTTTTGGTCCACTCGTTGACCATATGTTTGACAAAATCGCCGACAAATCAAACGTTTTCTTCAAAAGCCAACAAAAGGACGAAACGGATCTGACTTTCGGCGAGAAGCGGCTTATCGTCCGAAACCTATTCAACGACAATAAAGATGTGTTTCTTCGACGTTATGGCAGCTATTTGTCCGAAGAAGAGCTCAAATGTTTTGATGCATTGAAAGACAATCCTTGCCTTCAATTGGCGTTAAAGGAATTGAGAAAATGTTTGACCAAAAAGAAGACAATCGTTAAGAATAGGAGATATGAAGCGTTGAATCGGCTCTTGAAAAGTGGACATTATTTTAGTGACAGTGAAATGCAAACCAGAAATCCAGTGCTTTTCGAGCAAATGGTTGGACAGCATATGACCGAAGAAGAGAAGACACAACTCACGAGTGAAAAATATCCACTCAATGGACAAAATTATACTTTTTCTTCGTTTCTTTTGCAACAATTGAATAATAAAGAGACACAAAAAACAGACGACTGTTACGAAGAATTTGATTCAGAAGATAGTGATAGCGATGACAACACATCTGAAGACTTGGACACAAAGGAGTGTTTGGAAGGCAACGAAAAACAGAAAATGAGAGAAGAATTCATTAAAATAATGTCCGAACAGTTCCTCTCCGGTAAAGATTCTGAGTTTTATGATTACAATGAATGCGATAACGACTCGAATCTGGATATGAATCCAATGGCAGACAGGGATGAAGAGGACCGCTATTTCGATGCCGACGAGTAAAAAACACTAATTTATATTTATTATAATATTAAATATACTGTATGTAAATGTTTTCAATTCATTTTATATTTACTTCACATTTTGTAAACATTAAGTTTTACACATTTTGTTAAATAAAGTAATTTTCATCAAAAATATCAAACACGTCTATATATACGGTATAAGACATGATTATTCAAAGGATTGTCCAGAATATTATATGTCTAGTTATATCATATAACTTACAGTATGTCTATTGAAGTTTATACTTTGTACTGAAAATTGTTCTCAAAACTACAGAATGTATTACAGAAAGCATTACAGAATGCAATACAAAAAAGCATTACAAATGCAATACAGAATTCATTACAGAATCCAACAAAGAATTTGATTATGTAATTTTAAAGATAAAAGACAGCACGTGTTTCAGAATTTCTTTTAAAAATAAATATTAATCTAACGTAACCTCATTTATATGGGCAAAGTAATAAGATCAAGCATCTTTGTTTTACAACTTTGTGGTTCACATCAAATTGGAAAAATAATGGAAAGTTTTTGTTGATGTAAAGAAAAATATCAAAATGGGATCATCCGATCAAATGGTTAGAGTACTATAGACTCTCAATTTGTATAATTTACATGCCGTATAGTTTCTTAGTTACTTATCGTATGAATGAATTTGCATGAAATGTATTAAATATTACAGTTATACAATTTATTGAACATCAATGCAAATTACATAATAAAATATGCATTTTTAAAATTGTCTATTCTATTAACTATATTAAATTAACTATGTTATTTAAATACCAAATTAACCATACATTCAATACATTTGTTGAATTCTTTGGTCAATAATGTGTAAAATTATTTATAAATTCATGAATTTCATTCAAAAACCCATTCATAAAATAAAATCATTTATTTTCAATAAAGAAGATATTATAACAAAAGAAATTGCAAATCGAGTTAAATTACATAATAAAGTAGAACCAAATCTTTCATCAAAACCTTCCTATTCTCTCTCCAATACCATAATAAGAGTAATAATAATAATTTTATTAACACAAATCGTCAGAAGTTCTGTCAGTTAATGATTACAGAGAATGTAAATGAGAAATATGTGATGAATTCATTTTATTAAATTAAATTTAAATATAATTATTATTACGTTATTATAAAAACGAAGAATGAATTGTAAATATTGTTAAATTTGTGTAAAACCGTCTCAAAGATGACAAAACCCATCAATTCTATAGCAGTTGTTTCAGATGAACCCGAAGTCAAGGAATTGTGATTATATTGTTATAATACTTATATTATTTAAGTTTTATAAATGACAACACTTTGATGGGTGTATTCATTGGTTTGTCAATTGAATTGAGCACTACTTCTTAGGCGTATGATATTCTTCAATGCATAGATGACAACTCCACGAGCCCTCCGGCGGTTCTATCAAATATAAGTGCGGTTAGTATTGTGTAAATGTTTGCAATGTATTGATAGTATTACCTGAGAGAGGAGGGGACAGACAATACATATGATAGCCTCGATCGCAATCGTCACAAAATAGCAATTGATCCTAAAAATATACCAATAGTTATAGACTGAATACACAACTCATTACATATGATATGAATTACATCATTGTCTGAAGTGCCGCAAAGTCCGCAAGACTTGCATTCAATGCATTGCCACCGGTATTTGGAAACAGAAAGAACCATATTTGGAGTGAACTGAAGACATGTCGGGTGCGCAGAACGGCCGCAATCAGAGCACGAGACTAACTCTTCAGCAGATCTGGTCTTCTTATTCTCGGCGGAATCACCCAAACAGAAGTCGCAGTACTGACTCGGAGACGCTAATGGCTTACCGCTCGCGCTCTTAGAACCTGTAATTATTGACCAATTAATCCAATTGTTATCACAAGTCATACATTTAGGAGATTCAGGGAAAGGAGGAACAGAAGGAAAGGGTGGCGTTTTGCGTATGTCTTACTTGAAAGGCCTAAGTTTACGAAAGCATTGTCTGAAATATACATTCAATCAGTCGTTGACAGAAGAGACGAGAGGACAGAAAGAAAAAACAATTCACAATATGTTTATTCACTTAATTCAAGTTATATCACATGAAATCATACCTTCAATCTCGTCAGGATTGGGAGGTTTGGGGCCGGCATTTGGTGGCATTGGATGCGGTGGCTGTGAAGACATCATTTGCGGCATCATTGGTGGCATTGGATGCGGTGTCGATGACATGGCTGGCGGTGGATGTGGAAGAGGAGTTGATTGGGTTGGATGAGACTGATGGTGAACCTGACGGGGAGGTGTATATGGCATGTCTTCGTCCTCAGCGGGAGCTCTTCCACTACTAGTCGGTCCTGTCATGGAATTACTGTTGGAACCGTTGGATCCATCGTTTTGATGGCTATGAGAGTAATGATACGAAAGACCGGGTCGTGTCTTATATCGAGCGCCGCACAGATCGCATGAATAGGGTTTCTCTGCGTCCGAGTACTCGACTCTCTTCCTCTTCGGCGCGTCTTTCTTCTTCTTCTTCGACGACTTTCTGGTGGAGTACTCCTCGTAATCGTCGAAATCAGACTCCGGGTCATCGAGTTCTCCGGCGTCCGGCAAATCGCTGCCGTCGTCGTAGTCCCGGAGCCACGACTCGGTCTTTGACTCCTCAATGAATTTCTCAAAATTCTCGACCGCTTCCATACGGCTCGTCGTCTCCACAATATTGGTCACCACTTCTTCGCCATTTATCTCACTCTCTCTGATCCTTCGCGTCAGATAATTATCATTCAACAGATACTGTCGTCTCTTCTTTTTCCATCTGCGGGCCGGATATGAGTAGAGCTGACCCGTGCTGTGGCCGGGCATCCGCTCCACAGTCTCCGCCCATATGAAAGAGTCGCCTAATTTGTCAACAAAAAAGGGATCAATTGGTAAATCGGGTGACAATTATGGCAAATGTGTCAATACTTTGAGCCACTCCTGTCTGCGCGTCGAGGAATGGCAGCCGAAGACGTCTCTCATTGACGAGTCGGACATTGAATTTGGATGAGTTCTCGATGGCGTCTTGATATGACTGATCCGATAAACGGCTGACAATTCATTCATAATATCATTAATAATGGCATAAAAATAAAAGCAATTATATTTCCAACAATACTATCAATAAATGATTACTTTTTCAATTTGTTCAACACATCCGGACGAATGACAATGTCGTCCATCACTTCCCGATGTCTTCGATGGACACAATTAGCGGCAAATATAACGCAAACAATGGATTGAAAAACAATTATCGTTTCAAATGAGAAACCAATGAATGAATCGATTTCTCGTTTCTCTCACTCTTTGTTAAGCACTCGACGACACCAGAGGTCTCTCAACACCACTCCTATCACTGCTCTTCAACTTATTGTCTGTTTTTAATTCATTTAAATTGTGGTAAATTTAAATTTGATTTCATTCAGTCAAATGAGACTCAATTATCGCACGAAAAACTTAATTATCAATAAATCAAAACAAAAAGCATTTCAGAAGTAAATAAATAAGAAATGCTTTCATTTATTTCTCAAAAAATGTTTTTATTAATTATTTATTTAAACAATTGATGACAAAAGCTATCAGAAGAAGAAGCCGAGGATTTTGCCGCCCAAGTGCTTTCTTCGGGCCTCTTCGTGATCCATAATCCCTCCCGAAGTGGTCAATACAAGGAACCCGAACTGACGGGACGGCAATAAATTAGCCAAATATGACTCCATGTCTCGCAATTTCACGTCAAATCGAGGGCTAATTACTCCACATTTGTTTAATCTTCCCGTCAGATTCACCACGATTTTGCCTCCTCTGTGGTCGTCCACGATCTCAAACTCGCCGATATAGCCTAAGACAGGGATCAGATGGGGTTAGACATGGTTAGGGTGTGGGAAGGGTTGGTCACTTACCATGCTTCATCATCACTTTCAGGAATTTCACGATCACTTTGGATGACGGCCTCAGAAGGACCTGTCGTTTGCCTCTCTTCTCGGCGTTGTTAATGGACTTGAGAGCGTCCGCCAAGACATTCATCCGCACCATTGTTTCTGTCAATACAAACTAGATATGAGACACGTTTGTCGGTTACACACCTTTTCAGACAGCTTTAGATCAAAATTAATTGATTCAACGCCTCGTGACGGACGCCAAGAGGTCTGTCTTGAAGTGAATTGTGTTAAAAGTGGTGTAAATCGCGAAATATTACCTCAATTTAAATATAACTCAATTAAGCGTCGATTGAATGCAAACACAAGACATGAGACAAAACAGGAAAAGGATATGACTTTACATTCATATTAAACACTTGTAAAGCAGGGGTCGTATCGTAATTGCAATGCTTTTATACATATTTTGCCCGCTTTTGCACATTTGAAAAACTTTTAATACTTTTAAATAATTGTTTTAATTAACTAATAATTTTAATTAAATAAATTTAACCAAAGTTAGTAAATTTAGTTGTTCAATTAAATTCAATTGACCAAAATATAAACTGTTCATGTTCATTTACATTATTATACAATATTTAATTGCGATAAATCGTTAAATTTAAATAATCAATGTTTTTATATCTAAAGTTTTGCTGACATGGTTCATTTAATTTTGTAATTTTAATTCAATTGTATTTAAATATAATTCAATTTAAAATTACTTCAATTGAATTAACCATTTTACTGTTACTAATCTTTTAATAGTAAATTGTGTTCACTTTCTTATTGTTAACTGTAAGTCAATTTCAATAACACAAAGAGACGGTAAATCATCTCATTTTCAATTCATAATCAAATAATTTACACAATCTTTCCGACAATGAGTTGAATATTATTTCACACTTAAAAGGAATATTTTTATATAGCAAATGCCGTAGCCCATTCTGATTGGTACGGCCATGTTCAGCAAGGTTCATAGATATATTTTCCGTCGAAAAAATCTGCCAACGGCCAGAAATGACCGAAATATGGACAAAATTCTGATTAAATACATAGCATTCAATTGAATTCACACAACGTTAAAAACATTTAAATGTTGTGATAAATGGTGATTCACACATAGCACAGGGCCATTCACCACAAGTCTATGCATTAAATGCTATGTATTTAATCAGAATTTTGTTCATATTTCGGTCATTTCTGGCCGTTGGCAGATTTTTTCGACAGAAAATAAATCTATGGACCTTGCTGAACACGGCCATACCAATCAGAATGGGCTACGGCATTTGCTATATAAAAATATTCCTTTTTAGTTTTTAAATTAGATTTTCTTTTAGATTAATTCAATTAAAACATTATAACTTAATGTCAAACTTATGGTACAAGTATTTGAAACTTTATTTGGTTCTCGTTTAACGCAAATCTAATTGCATTTAAATAACACATATTTCCAATAATGCTGTCAATTGTTTTGCATTTCAAATCACATTACAATTAATAGAGTATACATTGTATTGACATTTGAAGTGACAAACAATTGAAGGCAAACCCAAATGACAAACAAATGACAAAACAATTAATCGTTTAAACAATTTATTATTCAAATTATATTTAGAAATACAGATTGAATACAAAGACGGGAAGTGGTCTTAAAACTGGATCATCTGTCCCTTCCTCTTCTTGTCGCCGCCGATCTCGAAGTGTTTGCACCGTTTGATTGGCAACTGTTTGCGTGCTTTGCATTCCGAGCACTCCATCCTTAAGACAATCTTTTTGGTGGTCTTCGCCTTCTTTCTGAAGATGGGTTTCGTTTGTCCGCCGAATCCGCGCTGTTTGCGGTCGTATCGGCGCCTTCCCTGAGCCATAGATGACTCCTTGCCCTTCTTGTATTGGGTCACTTTATGCACCGTATGTTTACTACACTTTCCCTTGCAGTACGTCCGGCGAGTCTTCGGCACGTTTACCATATTTGCTGAACAATTGCTCACAATTAGCAACGATTTACGTAGAAATACACAAAATCACAACAAATGAGACAAATGTGTGGTTAATATGTCTTCAGGAAAAGGAAGTGCTTTTCAGTGATTGCATTGCAATGAATGGCTGGCATAGAGTGAGAGCGAGTCTGCCATCTGTTATGCATTGAAAGCATAGAAAGCATTGTTTGACTCAAAACAGACAAAACGTGTTGTCAGGCCTTGGATTGGCAGCTGACGAGGTGGCCGAGTGGTTAAGGCGATGGACTGCTAATCCATTGGGCTCTGCCCGCGTGGGTTCGAATCCCATCCTCGTCGTTACCATACTTTTTCTTTTTTTACTTTTTTTGAACTTTTAATTTAATATAAAAACATTATAATTATAAATCTATGAGAAATCCGTTATTTATCGTTTAAATCACTTTTTTAAACATTTATTTTGCTTTTGTTTTCATTGAAAGTATTGATCCGGAATTTTAATTAAAAACTTATGTTTGTATTCAATTCAATACCGGTTTTAATTGAGCGCATAATATATATATAAATTATGAATGATTTTAAATAATTGTCAGACACTTTGTGAACACAAACACATATTTATGCGATTTATGTTATATTTGACTCCTTTTGCTGACCTTTGGTACGAATGTCTGATAATTTATTATAACTAAAGCATTGACTTTTAGGTGACAAAAACCAGTCTTAAAGTCACTATAAAAGTTACTTAAAAATGGCTAAAAAGGTGATAAAAAGTTATGAAAAAGTTAGTTATTTTGCATCAAAATAATCCATTCAAAGGTCAATAACATTCGTTTTTAAATTCAATTGTATAACAAAGTATTTTGTGAGGTTTTTGGTTTCAAAGGTTATTCGTTTTTCGTTTAACAACTGTTTATGAGTCCAAAAACGTTTAATGACTAAAAACCATAGCCTGTTATGACTAAAAACTATGACTTAAAAATTTTAATATTACATTACACCTGTTTTAAATTTTGATTCATTGGGTATTTTGTGATTTATCAGTTAATTACGTATAAAATTTGCAAAATAGGCGAAAAGTTACTAAAAAGTTACTAAAGGTGAGAACGTCCCAAAAGGTGCTAAAAAGGTGAAATAAAAATCGTCCAAAATACTCCTAAGGGGGTATATGGTATGCCCCCAAACTTTCAGGAGGTTCTCCGCTTTCGGAACAAAAAGTTATTTAACTTCAAATCAATGCTTTAATTATAACTGTTTAAAAATATTTGTTGGATTTCCTATATTTATACAGTAATGTTAATACAACTTCTATTATGGAATCCTCTCCATAAGAAATACCTCCCCATTGGAAACGAATTGATGGAAATTTAGGCAAAATTAGCTCTCTTTATAAGAAACTTCTAACATTTTACAAAATAATAACGATATTTAAGGTATATTTTCAAAACTAAAACTGAAAACAAACAAAAAATTTTTTTTTGAATTAGTTTAACATTTATTAGAATTAATTTATTACATGAATTAGAATCAGAAACCATTAATTATTATCATATAAACCTTTTAATAACAGAATAACAAATATAATATGATGCTTAACATATTTATATATGAACTTCCCTTGGAGAAACCCTTCCTATAAGAAACACTTTTGCCGTGCAACTGGCCGTTTCTTATAGAGAGGTTGCACTGTATTATATTATTTGTGCCAGAATTCATATTTATATTTAATATCATTTTGGCTTAAATTAAAATTTCAAAATATCCATCACATTCATTAATATTAATACTTTTAATGAATATTATTTTTAGTTAACTTAATAGAATTGACCAATTTACAAATTTCTGCCCAACAAGTTATATGAAACCAAAATTTTCAAATCATTTCAAATTCTTGATCAATGATTACATGAATTAACATTTTTAAAACTTGACAGTATTTTTCCATTTCATTTTGTAATTACCGGTAATATTTGTATTCTCATATCATAAGTTACTGTATATAATAATAACTGTAATATTTACCACAATGTATTATTAATAGTAAATTACAAACAAAATAGTAATAATTGATAAAATAATTAATTGTACAAAAAATATTTAACTTCAAAAATTTAAGATTTTATTTGTTTAGTTTAATAAATAAGAATAGAGTTATAGAAACACAAGTATTAGTACTCTATTCAAAATACATAAAGTCGATGAGGAAAGTAGCGGCTAATAGTAAAGCCTTGACTCTGACGTCTAAATCCATTGGGAACTGAACCCCAAAAATATCGGCGTTAGTCATCATATCCCTAAAGAAGCCGTATTTTTTGATTATTTGTCCCACTTTTAGATTCGTGTCTTTGGCTAATATATCGAACTTAATATCATTGCAACAAATACTAGCCGTACAAATGGGTCCCACAATCCTCAACACTGTAACACCGGATCCGTTCTCGATGTGGAAGATTGGTCTCAAACAGTGACAGTCTTGTATCACTTGTCCAATGATATTACCGGGCGGTGACTCCACTCTCATTACATGCAGACAACAAAAACAACAGCAATCATCAACTCTTAAGGGACGACTCAAATGCATCACTTCTTGTTGTCCGATATTAACCACTCGTATCTCAAACGGACGGTTTCGGCAACAGTTTCTGGTCATGCAATGGGTCTCCTCTGCGGCGAACAACACATTTTGCCCCAAAGTGTTTTGAATGTCATACCTGTTGTTGGCCTCAAATGATGTGAACACTTCTACGATTTGGATCTGTTGTTTGATTACCAACTGATCTAAACTTAACAAATACTCGAGTCCTGGCGGACAGTTGATTGGTATTGCAATATTAGGTGTCTGTAAGCCTAGCATTGGATTCAATAACATCTGAGGTATTTGTGCGACCCCTTGAGTGGCCGCTTGTGTCTGAGCTTTCGGCGGTTCCGTTGAATTCATTACAAGAACTGATGAATTGTTTGAAGAGTTTTGACTAATTTTTTATTCAGATTTGATCTTAAATTATGTTTGAAAAATGATTAACGAATTTATTTGGTAAGAATAAAACTCATAAATTAGTGCATTCACATTCAAATAATATTGCAATAATAAAAAATTTGAATGTATTTAATCTCGTGGTGATTTTTGAGCAACATCACAAATTTTAAAATATTTTTTACGTCAACTAACTTTAAAATATAAAATACTGTGTCCGATATCACTGATAGAACACCTTTAATGACAACTGTTATACAGTGACATTCTCCATAGGAAACTGACAGTTGCAATCGTAAGAGTGGTTTCCTACATAGAGGTTAAATTGTATAGATTTAACTTATGAAGGGAACGAATTCAAATTTTAGTCGGTTAAAAAATGTCAATTTATCATATTTTGTTTGTTTAGAGTCTCCAAGTGGTGGAACTTTTGATGAACAGTATTATAGATTCACATAATTATAAAATTTGTCGACTACTCTATACTCACATTTTGCCGCATTTATTTCATTTCACTGTTGAAATTACAGTGTATTTAAAGTATGAATCTTTTAAATGTCATATTATTCTAATAATGCTATCCTTTTCTCTGTTGTACACAGAATAATATAATTTTATATATGAAATTCATAGACATGTAAATTACATTGTAGTTCAATATACAAATTGTAACAAAAGGAGTTATTTAATAATAATAAGATTAAAATTAGTAAAATAAACGCAAATAAATATTTGAATCTATTTTATTGCAAAATATATGTTTAACTCAATAAATGTTTAAAAGATAAAAACAATCCACTAATCAATAAAATGCTCTAATCTTCTAATAATAAGAATAAATGTATACAATATTACATATTATTTATATATTACTTATAATAAAAATAATTATTCAAAGGCATATTTAATTGTAGAATTATTAAAAATTTACAATATATTTATCTTTAATAATGGTTTTAAATAATAATACATTTGGACACACATTGAATCTCTATTATCCATAAGTTATAACAATAATTATTTCAATTATTAATAGTATCTCTGATTTGAACTAAACTAAAACGAATTTCCAATATATAACTCAACAAACTTTGTGTTTGAAAGTAACGAAAAAAAGAAACACAAAATTCTAATAAATTGCATAATTATTATAAAATAATAAAATCATAAAATATATTATTTATTTAATAAAATAATGACAATTGCGTAAACCCTGAACTGTTCTCATCTTATATTAAATACAGTATTTACTTGTAAACGATAACTGGTATCAGAATAATTAACTCGTTGTCCAAATGTCGATAATAACCAAACGAATCCAAATACAAACATTACATTTAATTCCGAAATACACACTTAAGGCAAGATTTGTTCACTGCATTGCATTTAATAGTGTTATGAATAGCGAAAGATTTAATTTTGCTGAAAATATCTTATAAAACGTTTGGCAGTCATTGGGATGAAAGAGATTTAATGTTTATAATATTTCTCTAGTTTCAGCCAAGGCTGCCATCAATTCGGAACTATATTTATTATCACAGGAATGGTTCAGATGGTGGTGCGGATGACAGTCGCTTAGTTTGTTGGTCTGGGGCTCGCATTGACTGCTTTGGGGATTGGGTTCGGATGAGTGATGGCTATTATTGATGAGCAGATTATCCAAATCATTGTTTTGTGAAAGGCTTTCGAGGAGAAGGCTGTCATTCATATGGGACGGAACAGTCATGTAATTATAGTTATAGTTTGGATGACTTTCGACAGAATTGTTCTCAATGTTAATCATCTCTACATTTGGTTTAAGCTCTGGTTTGATATCAAATTCATAAGAATATTGTCGCGAATCTCGGCTATAGTTAGGAATGTGTTGAGTTTGCGATTGCGGCCAATTCGGTGGTACGGCTCGGGACTGACCACTCGGTTGTTCCAACTGGTGCTGAAGCATAGACCTCGAAGAATACTCGTGCGGTATATTGTTGTGAGTGTCGGCCATACCATTAGACATATGGGAAGGCATTCGGTGCCTAAAGGGAGGGCTCAGATGCCGTAGGAATGATGAATCGCTGTCAAAACGGGACATCAAATGACTCAATGGGGCGCTCGACTTGTTGTGAGCCATTTGTTGGCCAAACATAGCGTGCGATTGAGTTGAATCGGTTTGGATAGATAGCGGACGCGATATATTGGACATATTGGTGGGATATGACAGCAGTTGCTGTTGTGATGGTGTGTTATGGATGTGGTTATGATAGTGAATCTGATGGCTTTGCATTTCTTTCTCGTGCGACTCCACGGGTGACATCTCAGGCGTGGGTAGGGATCGGATGGAGTCGTTTAAGGCACTCGTTTGGGGCATATTTCCGAATTCATTTCGCAATTCAGCGCCGATTGCCATGTCTTTGGTCAGCGATAGGTTGGCCTCATCTCGACTATACATAACAGCATTGGAGTGATTGTTGTGATTGTTTTGGTGTTGATTGAAAGCTATTGCACCAGAATTGGGGTTATTGTTAGCGCAACGAAACGAGTCTAAGATTCTGTTGTTTCGCATCAAAGACTCGCCGATTGTGTTATTGAATGGACTTCCGTGAGGAGACGACTCCGGGGTCTGTACTCCGCAGTACTCCAGCGATGGAGAACTGATGGAAGAGTTGTCGGGATTATCCATGTTATGGCCTCCGTGTGTGTTGGCCTGCGAGCCATACATAGCCATGAGTGCCATATTGTCATTGATGTGCATTCCCTCGCTATGGACTTGTGTGCGGCCGCCTCTTTGGCTGCGTTTGCCGTGCTTTCGTCGTCGGGGTCTGTATTTATAGTTGGGGTAGTCCTGCATGTGTTGGACGCGAAGCCGTTCCGCTTCTTCAACATAGGGTCGTCTCTCTTGAGGCGTCAAAGCCTTCCATTTCTTGCCTTTTGGTTGAAAATGAAAGCAAACGAAACGATCGAATAATTAAAAGATTTATCTCTCATTGAAAATAATTATTTGTTGAGGAAATAAATGAAAGATGGGGTCAACTATTAAATGGGAGGAAAGGGAGGGTCAGTACTGGGATTGTGAAATGGCATGCAATGGCAGCTGTGATCTCAGATTCCAGATCTTAAAACGTGTTTTAGTGTTTCATTTCGTTTCACTATCTCTGCCATCGTTTCAAATACTAATACAGATCTGAACCAAAGTTTTGAGTTTGGCTTCAATTTGGATTCAAATTCGATCAAAAGATGTTTAGATACCAAATATTGGGCTCTAAGAGTGTTGGTATGGATTGGGGTATGAAATGGTATGAAATGGTATGAAATGGTAAGCAATGGTAAGGAATGGTATGAAGTCGTGATGAGAGTCGCACCTAATTAAAGAGCGGCGCCTCTACTAAATGGAAAACACCTAAAACACCCAAATTTCATAACAATCCCTACGAAATGCACTCAATTGTGTTCAACATTTGTTTAGATCAAAGGTTTAACTTCTTTCATGACATCCCAAACAAACGGCGAGACTTCTGTCAAATAGATACTCATAATTGTACACAAACTCCAAACTCTCTTCTAATCTCATGTATAAAAATAATATTTTAGGAGATTTACGGCTCAACACTGTATGTTATGCCGTATAATACCGTATAAGCGATAGATATTAGTGTTTAATATAAAAATAAAGTTAATTAATGCGTAAAAATAAAGTTTTGTAGTTTTTGGGCTGTTATCAAAAAATGTGATGCATTCCCTAAAATGGGAAGATATGTATTGCCTATGACTACGGCTGTCAGAAGACTAAACAATAATTATATGTTACGCTCAGGTATTCAATTACACATAAGATGATCGAAAAGCATAGGACAGCTTCAGTGAAGAATAGGTACACCGGCTCTAAGATAGTGGCAAATACTGGCAAATATATGGGGATAAGGGATGCGCTGTAAGATTTCTATCACGCATTGCCAACAACACCGGGATTTCACTCGGGATTACATCAAGCCTTCGATTCACTTGTGCTGAACCGTAATTCCTCTCAACATTTTCTAATTATTAATAACAAAATATTTTCATCAATCATACAATACATCCAAATGTATCGAAATATTTGCTAATAAAAAATATTACAATATTTGTTTGAACCGGAAGTGCCTTAAATGATATCTATAGATAATATATTGATATATGATATACCATTATATCACTGATATCTATCATGTATTCCACTTATTAAACAACATTACAGCACAGAATATATGCATAGGAATGGGTGTAATACATAATATACATAGATTTCGTTCACAAGACTCATAACTGCATCTTATGTTCACTCAACTATAGGTCAGATGAGACTTATCTGTAAAGGCGTTTAGTACACTATACACATCACAGCATACAGTGTACTTTGTATATTGTATTCAATGCACCTGTGGGTGGGATATCACACATTTGTTTTACTTCACTTCAACACACACTCATTGAGAAGATAGAAAAAAGTTTTACAAAAAATCACAAATATTTACAAGATTTCCAATGAATTTCGAGATCCGAAACATGGAATCAAACGGATAACCATTAGGAATGTGTTGGAGACAGCGTTTGACAGAATTTAGTGCTAATCTATTCATTAGGATTCGTGATCGCGATATATCGATATAATTGAAAGCTATATTTGTTGAGCCCTTAAGTGATAATTGTATGGCATTTAATGAATGGAAGGCATACTCCGAGTCCTGAGGATAGACTCTTAGGGATACGACTCTTGTGTAAAGAAATTGATAGCAAGAAAAGGAGCGAACGTTTAGTTTCATTCATTAAAATATGTTCATTGAGTTTAGTTATGGAAGCGATTAATCACTTGTATGTATAGTTTGTTGCTTTTTATAATTAATTTGGCCATAAATTAAATGCTATCAATAAAAAACACGACTCGAGAGTCATATTTCTTGTTACTATTGAATACATTGAAGAGATGGTAAAAGTTTGAGTTGATTTTCAATTCAAAGTGCGTAAATGGCTTTAGGGTTATATACAAGTTGTGATTACATAATCTGGTAATCATGTCACGTATAGGTAACAGTGCCTATGCCTGGGCTCTACCTTTAGTGAAATATTTGTGCGCATATGAGAAAAGTATGTCTAACTGTTGGCCTAAATACTGGACAGAGCGAGACTGAGTAGGAATTATATCTAATTGTAAAGAGTTATTACAATTAATAATTTAGTTTTAATTGCATTCATCACATCAACTCTAATCTCAAATATTATTTTTGCTAATTTTCATTATTCGAGGCGTTTTCGCTTCAACTTAGCTCTTCTTCACAGACCTCTTCCCACATATTATTATATTAGAAAATAGATAGAGATTTAGGTAACTGTGAGCTCAAGTCAGTCTCAGTCACTACAACACAGTCTCAGGTCATTGTTTTATTATCACATTCTTGTTCGCCATTAAAATAAGATTTAAACACTAGATTTCAAACAATTATCAAATGCCAGCCCATAATAACCCATCCAAAGAGCCACCAGTCCTACAGTTCCTCTCATTCCGACTTTTACTAACACTACTATTCATTTGATTATTATATAAATTTACGGCTGAACACAGTTTATAGTCATCTATTGCTAACAACAAAACACTTGCCGTAAATAACTTATTCTTATAAAATATGTTTATTAATTATATATCGAATTATTAAATACTAAGCAATAAAAAACAACACTATATAATAAATCTTATCTTTCTATCAAAATATAAATTTTAATTTTAAAATAAATTAAACTTTGAGAACAAGTGGTAACGAAGACTGTTTAACAGTGGATCTAAACATCAAAACAATCGCAAACGACTACTCAATAACTAGTTTTGATTCTTAACAGCAAAGAAGTGGTCATAATTCACAAAATCGAGATATTGTTAACTCGGTTTACAAACAAAACCAAAACTCTTTAATATTAAAATGCTTGCGATTTTGAGTTTGTGTTATGTTTTAGTTTTGGATGAAATGCAGAAAATGTATGAATGGATAAAAGAGTGGTTTCATGCGATTATATGTCGATTCGTGCGAAAGGCATGTCATTCGACATACTGTATAAAATGAGACCTAAATTGCAGGCCTTTCACAAAAAATCGTAGGCCTGAGAGTGAGTGAGTGCTGATCACAACTGTTCATCAGTTGTATGATTCCTAACAACAGTAATCTACAGCCCATTCATTCCCACCAATTATTATGCACTCATAAAAAGTCAAATAAGTGGTCAGAATTGCAAAGTCATAGCATTTTGAGTGTATGTTTGGGTCAGTCATTAAATTATATGCGGGAAACGGTGTTGTCTTATAGTGTCTATCCTGTGAGATGTGATACAATGCGGGCTCACCTATCAGTTCGCTCTACTCTATCTTTTAGTGACACAAGAACTACACCCTTTCGGTGCACCAGAAGTACTGCCTGTGCCTCAACTGCCTGTGCAATGCCTGATCCAAGTGTTACACTATTGTAAATAATGTTCACTACATTGAGTGCAGAATCAAAACTAGGACTTGGATGCAATGGATAACAATGGTTTGGTAGATCCCACCCTGATCTCTTAAAATAAAAAAGTTCAAACCAGCCCAACTTAGCCCAACTATACCACACCATACCATACCCTACCATACACTCAATTTCGTGACCAGTTTTTACGTACTTATCTTCAATCTTAGCGTACGTCACAAAAAACACTTTATTTCCTTTTCATGAAAACTTTTTTCTTCTCTCTCTCTCTCTCTCTCTCTCTCTCTCTCTCTCTCTCTCTCTCTCTCTCTCTCT